CAATCCATCTTCACACCCCAAGATCAATAAATGTATTCACAAAAAGTTACAAATTTGGACATTATAGGTCTTTTTGAAAGTCAACAAAAACACCTTTTTTTCCAAAGCTTATAACTTGAGCATGGAGAATCAAAATGAGATGAGACCAAAAGGGTTGGTTATAGGACATTTCAAGGTTTCTAAAAAGTCCAAAAACACATCCAAAAGTGAAAAATTGAAGAAGTTATGCATTGTTGAAGTTGGGCATTTTTCCAAAATTGCCAAAAGTCAACTATCCCCAAAACTTCAAATTTTGTCAAATGGGCCCACTTTTTTCCACTTGATTTGATCTTATCACACTACACACATTTCCTATCTTCATCCTTGTGTCCAATTATTAATTTTTCTATTTTATTTGATTTTTATTGATTTAATTCATTTTAAATCCAAATAAAATCCAAATCTTAATCACTTGGTATATTTTTGATCATTACAGGTCTTAAATATCATCATGTACACAATCAAATCCGAATCAAGCCATGTTGTGAACAAAATATTAGTTTTTGACATTTTTGGAAGCTTTGTTAATGGTGAATCTTATCAAATCTTGAATCATCAATACACAAGGATTCCAAGCCCAAGACTTGACCTAATACAATGCTTGATACATATACAACACAAGGCATACGAAAACAGGACCAAGAGGCTGCACAATCTGAAATACAAAACTTGAAAAAAGCTTGAAAAAGTGTGGAATTAAAATCTTGGTTAGAGGCAGATTCAAGGTCAAAACTCAACATAGACTTCTTGCCTGACATCCACTGAAGCTATTGCAATCAAAAGCCAAGCCAATCACCTCTTGAATCGCACTGTAAGTCTTCTGAAAAACACCCCTGTACACGAAATCGTATTCTCATATTCATGCATTTTTTTGGCAAAATCTTGACACCATCGTGTTTATCGTTCCATTTAGAACATTTCGCATCATTTGATTTTGTTTTCATGAGCCATAACTCTATACCCGAACCTAGGGTTTTGGAGACTTGTATTTGGGCGTTTGTTTTACATGAAAAATCAGGACCAATAATGGACATAGACAGGTTCAGGAGGTGAAGACGAAGCGAACCATGGCCTTGGATTGCATTTTTACCGCCTAGAGAAGATTTTAGGAATGAGCCATGAATTTAGCTGCGGATAAAATCCGCAGGTAAATATCCAGGCTTTTCAACGAAGAAGATGATCATGTGTCCCTCCCCCGTTGGCTGTTTTAAATCTCGCGCGTTTTCTTTTTTTTATTTTCAGCATATTGCTTGTTTTTCATATATAATATTCTCCACTTATTCCATTAACAATTAAATACAATGGCTCAGTTGGCGAAGGCGCTAGTGGAAAATCCAATGGGACCTGGGTTCGAATCCCAGGTCCCCCAATACATTTGTTTGATTTTTCTTTAGGTAATTGCATGTGATTTCCAAGGCGCATCTCACCATACACCTTCAGATTCCAAGCGCCAGATGGCCTACAGGCCAGATCTGGTGGCCCATATTGGACATCCACCATGTACTCTAGTCAACAGGTGCGCGTGAGATCCTGGAAAGTCAATGCAGGCTAGTATAATTGGGCTTGGAGATTGCTCTTCTCACCATCAATCTGGGCCCAAACCCCCCTTGGTTTATTTCTATTTCTTTTCATTATATTTATTTATTTGTTTTATTATTATTATTTTTTATTATTAATCACTAACCAATTAATAATTTTTCCTCATAAAATCAGAAAACACAAAAAATATTATTTTTAGTTATTAAAATTAAATTCATCATTTTATTTTTGTAAATAAATTAATTTAATTGATTTAGTTCTAATTAGGAAATAACATTAACGATTTTGCAATAATTAAAAATTAATGTAGAATTAGGTTTTTTACTAACTTTCAATCAATTTATTTTATTTATTTAAATATAAAAAAATCCAAAATATCTTTTTTTTTAATTAATTAATTAAGTTATTTAATAATTAGCTTAGGTTTAATTCCATTGAATTCAAAAATAAACAAAAAATGCTTTCCTTCACTAAAAGGGTCAAAACCCTAAAAAATGCGCCGATTTAATTTTCTCGCACGCGATTCATATTTCCATATTATTGTAATTGCTTCCGGAATGTAATAGTTAAATTAGGACTTTAATTTATTTATCGCTTTATTTATTTTCCGCAATTTAAATTAAAGGGTTGTTTTTGGCGATGTAAATACCCGACGCCTTGTAATAGTTTAGATTTAATTTCCGCAATTTAATTTCCGTAAATTATTAACTGTTAGGTGTTTAATAATTGGGAATGCATGACAATATCAAATGTATGAACTTAAAATCAACATAGCTCGCCCATGACATGTACAAAGATAAACCGAAACAATACACTCGCACATGCGCACTCTTAGGGTACACCTCACTTGGTTGCCTTCGAACGTGGTCATTGAGTATAGGAAGTTTTAGAGGTCGCCCTCTTGTCCAAATATCATAAGTTTCCTCGGAAAAATGATCTAAGACATTAGGGTTACCGCTAAGGCGTCCTAACATTGCTTTAGTGACCACAAGTCCCTTAATCGAATTGACCCTTAAAACTCCAACGACGATGCTACCTACTCATCAATAGTGGGCTAGCATTGTCTAAAGGACATTTGTACAGTTTAATTCCTTTTTCGAGTAGGTAGATGGTTCTTAAGTACTTGCTCTCTCAAAACAAAACAAAACTTTTCGCACTTACACATTTCAAACAAAAACTCCTTTCAAACCCACAAACACAAAGAAAAGCAATTTTTGAAAACACTTTGAGCAAGTACCTAGGAGCCCGTGGATAACCACGGATAGAAAGGGTGCTAACACCTTCCCTTTCTATAATCTACCCCCCGAACCCGAGAAACATCTCGAAAAAGGAATTTTTCTGTGCTTTTTTCCTTTCCTTGTTGGATAAAATAAAAGACGGTGGCGACTCTTGCTTACCGCGACATTTTGCAAAAACAAACGCAAAATGCAAACCAGCATTCCAAAAAATAGTCAGTTCTTCCCACCGTATCACAATGTCCAAATAAGAACATCCACGCCAAGACGGATAAATTATTCATACCAAAGGTGTTATATCCATTGATAAGTTATGAAGAATTTAACCATAGATAATCTCTTAACCATCCCATCAAATAGGTTGAAGATAATGTGCTTCCAATGCCAATAAAAAGTAACCCATCCAATGGTATTTAACATCCAGAAAACATCCAAATAAAATGCGTCCCAAGCAGAAATATCACAAGTACCACCTCGTCCCGGACCATCGCAAGGAAAACTATAACCAAAATCCTTTTTATCCGGCATTAACTTGGAACCACGTGCATCTAAAGCACCTTTTACTAAGATCAATGTAGTTGTATGTAAACCAAGAGCAATAGCATGATGAACCAAGAAGTCTCCAGGCCTTATTGTTAAGAATAGAGAATTAATATTCTCATTAATAGCACTTAACCAACCCAGCAACCATATGCTTCGCCCCGCATTGAGCGTCGGACTATTCGTTGAAAATAAAAGTACATCGAAACCATATGAAGTTTTACCATGAGCAGATTGTATCCATTGGGCAAATATAGGTTCGATCAAGATTTGTTTCTCCAGGGTTCCAAAAGCAAGCATGACATCATTATGGACTTTCCCAAAGTATGGAACCCTAGAAATAGGCTAGCCCAACTAAAATGGGATATGATAGCTTCTTTATGCTCTAACATTATTGCCAATACATTAACCTTATTCTGTTCGGGATTGTAATCTCTAATGAAAAAGATAGCTCCATGAGCAAAATTCCATGTCATAATAAATCCTGCAATGTATTGGTGATGAGTATATAACGCAGCCTGAGTAGTAAAGTATTGTGCTATAAATGCATAAGCAGGTAAAGAGTACATGTGTTGAGCTACCAAAGAAGTAATTACCCCTAACGAGGCTAGAGCAAGGCCTAATTGAAAATGAATTGAATTATTGATTGTGTCATAAAGACCCTTATGTCCACGCCCCAATCTACCCCCCGGGGGAATATGTGCTTCTAAAATATCTTTTATATTGTGCCCAATACCGAAGTTAGTTCTATACATATGACCAGCAATGAGAAAAAGAATTGCAATAGCTAAATGATGATGGGCCATATCGGTAAGCCATAAAATTTACGTTTGAGGATGGAATCCCCCGAGAAGTGTTAGAATGGTAGTTCTTGCGCCTTGCGAAGTACTAAATAAATTATTACTAGAATCGGGGTTTTGAGCATAAAAATTCCACTGACCCGTCAAAAGTGGTCCTAATCCTTGAGGGTGGGGCAATACACTTAAGAAATTATTCCATCAAACATATTCTCCTCTGGATCTTGGAATAGCCACATGGACTAAATGCCCTATCCAAGCTAAGGAACTGACTCCAAATAGTCCTGACAAATGATGATTGAGGCACGATTCGACATTTTTAAACCACGAAACGCTTGGTTTCCATTTTGGTTATAGGTGTAACCAGCCCACTAATAAGGATATGAAAGAAATAAATAATGGGAAAATAGCTCCAGTATAAAGATCCTCATTAGTACGTAAACCAATTGTATACTACCACTGATAAACACCAGAATAGGCAATATTCATTAGGCCAAGAGCACCCCCTCGAGTAAAAGCTTCTACAGCCAGTTGACCAAAATGGGGATCCCAAATTGCATGAGCAATAGGTCTTACATGTAAAGGATCATGTACCCATGCCTCAAAATTTCCTTGCCAAGCTACATGGAAGAGATTCCCGGAAGTCCACAGAAAAATTATTGCTAATTGTCTGAAATGAGAAGCAAAAATATTCTGATAAAGACGTTCCTCAGTAATATCATCATGACTCTCGAAGTCATGTGCAATAGTAATACCAAACCAAATACGATGAGTAGTGGGGTCCTGAGCTAAGCCTTGGCTAAACCTTGGAAATCTTAATGCCATAATGCTTTTCAAATCCTCCTAGCCATTATCCTACTGTAATAATTCTTGCTAAGAAGAACGAGCACGTTGTGGCAATTCCACCCAGAAGGTAATGTGTTACTCCTACAGCACGTCCCTTTACAAATGCTCAAGGCTCTAGGTTGAGTAGCAAGAGCAACTTTTAATTTATTATGAGCCCAAACGATGGATTCAATAAGTTCTTGCCAATAACCACGCCCGCTGAATAGAAACATTAAACTAAAATCCCATACAAAATGGGCGCCTAAAAAAAAGACCATATGTCGATAATGAGGAACCATAAAACTAAATTACCTGGGATGCCTGTGCCCATAAGAAATCGTAAAGCCACCCATTAATGGTAATCGAACTCTGGGCAAAGTTTCCTCCTGTGATATGAGTTACTACTCCTTGATCATTTATACTTCCCCAAACATCTGACTGCATTTTCCAACTGAAATGGAATATTACTACAAAAATTGCATTGTACATCCAAAATAATCCTAGGAAGACATGATCCCAAACGGATACTTGGCATGTCCCCCCTCTTCCAGGGCCACCACAAGGGAACCGAAAACTAAGATTTGCTTTATCCGATATCAATCGTGAGCTACGAGCAAATAGAACACCTTTTAGGAGTATCAATACTGTTACATGAATAGTAAATGCATGTACCAAAAAATTTGCAGTTCCTAATGGAATAGGTAACAAAGCTACTTTACTGCCCACTGCCACTAAATCACCACCGCCCCAAGTCAAACTAGTGCTTGTTGTTGCACCAAGGGCTATTGTGCCAGGTGCTAAAGCATGGGTATTTTGTATCCATTGAGCAAAGACAGGTTGTAATTGAATAGCGGTATCTGAAAACATATCTTGAGGGCACCCTAAAGCAATCACGGTATCATTATGAATATACAACCCAAAACTGTGAAAGCCTAAAAATATACACACCCAGTTGAGATGTGATATGATTGTATCACGATGTCTAAGAACACGATCTAATAGATCATTGTATCGAGTAGTTGGATCATAGTCTCTTACCATAAAAATGGTTGCATGTGCAGCAACACCAACTATGAGAAAGCCCCCAATCCACATGTGATGTATGAACAATGACAGTTGTGTACCATAGTCAGTAGCTAGGTATGGATAAGGAGGCATAGCATACATATGGTGAGCTACAATAATGGTCAAAGAGCCTAACATAGCTAGGTTAATAGATAATTGAGCATGCCATGATGTTGTTAGGATCTCATATAGACCTTTATGACCCTGGCCTGTAAATGGGCCTTTATGGGCTTCTAAAATATCTTTTATACCATGACCAATACCCAAGTTAGTTCGATACATATGACCAGCAATGAGAAAAAGAATTGCAATAGCTAAATGATGATGTGCAATATCAGTCAGCCATAGACCACCAGTTAGTGGGTCTAATCCTCCACGAAAAGTAAGAAAGTCCACGTATTTTGACCAATTCAAGGTAAAAAATGGGCTTGCTCCCTCAGCAAAACTTGGATAAAGTTGAGCCAAAAGATCTTGATTCAAGAGAAATTCATGAGGAAGTGGGATCTCTTTGGGATCTACTCCAGCATTTAGAAATTGGTTAATTGGTAAAGATACATGTACTTGATGCCCCGCCCAAGAAAGAGACCCAAGTCCTAGTAGACCTGCCAAATGGTGATTCAACATGGATTCTACATCTTGAAACCAAGCCAATTTTGGAGCAGCTTTGTGATAATGAAACCAACCAGCAAAAAGCATTAAGGCTGCAAAGACCAACGCACCAATTGCAGTACAATAGAGTTGTAATTCACTAGTTATTCCAGATGCTCTCCAAATCTGGAAAAAAAAACAGAGGTTATTTGTATTCCGCGGAAACCTCCGCCTACATCACCATTCAATATTTCTTGGCCCACTATTGGCCAAACCACCTGGGCACTGGGTCAAATGTGAGTAGGATCATTTAGCCAAGCTTCATAATTGGAAAAACGAGCACCATGGAAATACATGCCACTCAGCCAAAGAAAGTTAATGGAAAGTTGGCCGAAATGAGCACTAAATACTTTTCAGGAAATTTCCTCTAAATCGTATGGCTATCGAAATCATGAGCATCATCATGTAGGTTCCAGATCCAAGTAGTAGTATCAGGTCCCTTAGCTATTGTTCTTGAGAAATGACCAGGTTTTGCCCATTGCTCGAAAGAAGTTTTTATGGGATCCCTATCCACCAAAATTTTGACTTCTGGATCTACCAAAATTTTGACTTTTGGTTCCGGCGAACGAATAATCATTGAGTCCTCCTCTTTCCGGACAACACATACAAAGAGACCCGCCAACAGTAAACATAATTAATGAACTTATGAGAGATTTTTATATTTAATATCTTTCTCTTCTATCTCCCATATATCTATTCTATATTTTCTTTAGTTATTCACTAGAACAATTATGATCCGGAAGTTAATCCAGGGCAAGTGTTCGGATCTATTATGACATAGCAATGGGGTGCTCAACAGACCCTTTTATTTGACTGACGGGGGAAATAAACTATAAAAAATTCAATATATATAATGGATTCTCTCTATATTTTATTCTCTATTAAAAAATAAAATATAGAGAATAATATTAGAATTCGAATAAAAAAAGAAAATAATAAAAAGACTGTTCTTATTCAAAATGCCCTGTGATCTTCAACCAATTTTGTGCCTCAATATAATTACCAGGGCTAAGGGCTATAGCTTGTTTCCAATATTCAGCAGCTTGATCAAACCAAGATTCTGAAATTTCAGAATCTCCCTGTCGAATGGCCTGTTCTCCGCGGTCGGAATAGGTGAGTAAAATCCTTCCCTTAGAACCGTACTTGAGAGTTTCCTGACTCATACGGCTCAACAGTCAATTCTTTTGATCTTCTATTTTTTCTGGAGTTAATAACAAGACAAGAGGTTAATTACATGAATTTTAAACTTGAATTTGGATTAATAATTCAATTTAACCCTTTGTTTTTAGTTTTATCTTTTTTCCTACCTTCTGAAGAATAAAGCATCGACATTCACACTAACGTTCTTATTCGAATTTTCTGAAAGGTAACTATCTCGATTTCATATATCATTTCAGATATTTCATATATGATATATATATTTCTATAGAATCCTTGAGAAAGACTTTTCTTCATAAGAAAAGAGTTACTCTCTTTGGGATCTGATACTACACCGCTGCTCAAAACCTTAGGGGATCCACTTTATTACATAAGTCGATTCCTAATCTATCATCATATAAGTAAGCATTTCTTGTTGTATCGGCCAAAAACCTTGTGAATTTATCTTTACGGTGCTTCCTCTATCAATTAGATCTTTTATCCATAGAAAAAATTATCTAGGCATATATATTCTATTTCTTCATATTTTTACTTCTATGAAGTTTCTTTCTTTGCTACAGCTCATAAAAAGCGTTGTTTCGAACGGATATATATGTAGAAAGCCTATTTTTCTTTTTTTATCTAGTATTTCTTACTATTAGTGGAGGTTCTTTTATTTTTTTCTTTCTATAGTGGAGATAGTCGCACATAATGATAGATCACGGCCATATTGTTAAAAGCTTGAGGTAAGAAAGGGTTTCGTTCGAGTGCCCGAAAATAGTATTCTAAAGCTTTTGTATGTTCTCCGTTACTTGTGTGGATAAGGATTATGTTATAAAGTATACAACTTCGATCATAGGGATCAATTTCCAGTCGCATAGCCTCATAATAATTCTGTAAAGCTTTCGCATAATTTCCTTCAGATTAAGCCGACATCCGTTACGGTCGTCATTCGGTTCAAATAATCTCCGTTCTAGAACCGTACATGAGATTTTCATCTCATACGGATCCTCCTTTATATGGATAATGATAAACATCCATGGAATCCAATCAAAAAAGATTGTAATATTCTCATTATCAACTCAGCGGAACTAGTGTTTTTACACGAAATCTCTAGCTAACCTTTCTGTAAAGGATCTTTTATTAACATTTAGTAAGTTATTACTGGATAACATAGTAACTTCAACAATTTATTTATGCTCAACACCGCTTCATTTCCCGGAATTAGTCACTTCAATAGTCTTTATGGTTATATGGGTATCTAAAATACGAACGAGATGGATGTTTATTGTCCCGACCATTCTAGTTAGTCCCGGTCCCGATAAGAAAGGAAGGATTTTTTTTACAAAGTTTTCTCCTGTTGTTGATTCCCTAGCGTAGTGCTTCTTCCCCCATGTCGCCTATTGGTACTAGTGGAGTAGTGTGATACGGTGGCCAGAACCGGGACTATTTTTGGAATGCTGGTTTGCGTTTTGCGTTTGTGTTTGCAAAATGTCGTGGTAAGCAAGAGTCGCCACCGTCTTTTATTTTATCCAAAAAGGAAAGGAAAAAAGCACAGAAAAATTCCTTTTTCGAGATATTTCTGAGTACGGAGATTATAGAAAGGGAAGGTATTAGCACCCTTTCTATCCGTAGTTATCTACGGGCTCTTAGGTACTTGCTCATCATTTTCAAAATTGTTTTCTTTGTGTTTGTGTGCTTTGAAAAGTTTTTGTTTTGACTTTGATTTAACTCTTGCTTCTGTCTTCAAGAGTGTAATGAAGTGTTTTTGAAAACTTGTTTATGAAGGAGTGTAAGTGTGAAAAAGTTTGTTTTGATTGAGAAGTACTTAAGAACTAATCTACCTACTCGAAAAAGGAATTGTTTTATGTTTCTTTTCCTTTAGACAATGATATCCCGCTATTAGTGAGTAGGTAGCACCGTCGTTGGAGTTTGAGGGTCAATTCGAAAAGGGACGTACGGTCACTAAAGCAATGTTAGGACGTCTTAGTAGTAACCCTAATGTCTTAAGATCAATTATTCGAGGCAACGATATCTGAGGCAACCTTTCCAAGGCAACTTTGATCTTTTAGACAAGAGGACGACCTCTAAAACAACCTATACTCAATGACCATTTTAACGAAGGCAACCAAGTGGGAGTGTACCCTAGGAGTGCGCATGTGCGTGTGATTCAGTTTCAGATTATTTATCTTTGTACATGTTTAGGGTGATCTAACTGTATAACATTAGTCATACATTCTTGTCATGCAAACCCTAATTATTCACATATCTAGCAGTTAAATATTTGCAGAAATTAAAGTGCGGAATTTAAACTAAACTATTACAAGGCTTCGGGTATTTACATAGCCAAAAACAAACCCTTTGAAATTAAAAGCTGTAAAAATAAATAAATGTCCTAATTAAATTATTACAAACCGGGAGCAGATACAATAATTGGGCAAAATAATAATAAAGCGTGCGATGAAAAATTAGATCGACGAGAAAATAGGGTTTTGACCCTTCTTAACCTAATGAAAGAGAAAAATCTTTTTTGTTGTTTTTAATATTATTTTTAAGAAAAGAAATTAGGTTTTTTAAATTAAATGTTAAATTAATTAGTTATTAAATTAATTAATGAAAATAATTAAATGACATTTTTTTGGTTTTTGGTTATTTTAGGAAAAAGATAAAATGTAATTAAGTTAGTATAAATCCTATTGATTTTAATTATTTACAAAAGGAAATTAAAATTGTCTAATTAATCAAACCTAATTAAATTAATTAAATTATTGCTAAAAACAATATTCTAATTTTAATTGGACATAAAAATATTTTTGGTGATTTTTGATAATAAAAAAAAAAGAATTAGTTTATTGGTTAGTAAATAAATAAACAATTTAAATAAAATAAATAAAAAAGAGATGAAGAGAGAAAATGGGCCTGAGAATGGGGGTGTGAATAGCTGAAATCTAGGCCCAAAAGAGATGACCCATGCTGACTTTTTGGATCCAATACCACGCGCTTGACTTGGCTCATGGTGCACCTTCAGTGGTGGCCATCAGATTTGGCCATCTGGCCATCTGGCATGATTGATTGTGAGGGTACATGGTGGATCTCCTGGCTTGCGTGTGTACTGAATAACCTGAAAGAAAACAAGAAAATAGCAAATGCTGGAGGCAGGGATCGAACCCCTGACCTCCAGCCTCTAAATCCTTATGCGCTCACGTGGCCACCACTACGCCACTTTGTTTTCACTGTTATCATATTACAAAATAATAATAATATATGAAACAAATAAAATAATGGGAAATTCCGCGTGAAATTCAAATGAACAAATGATGGCTGGCCACGTATGTGTCTTCTTCCCTGCACCGTGGCTAAAAGCTTGAGACCTTATACCTACGGACAACGTCCGTTGCTACAGGCATGTACGTTCCCAGAATCTTCCATGGGCCATGTAAATAACATCTAACACCATGGTTAGACTCGCATCGTCCTCCTGATCACAATGGTACCACTTACAAAGGCTGATTTTTCCTGTAAATGAAATCCCTAATTCGGAGCTTTGTGACCTAGCTATGGTGAAATTGTGTATAGGCCATAAAAATGAAATTGAATGATGTAGAAAGTTTGCATATGTTCCATAGATCAAGAATGTATAATTAATTCAATCTAACAATGCTTAAAACATGAGATTCGAATTCAAGAACAGGGCGAAGTTGTGAACGACTTACAGTGTGTTTTGGGACTGGAATGGACTGGTTCTTGATTGCTTTAGCTTCTAGAGAGTCCTAGGAAGCGATTGGGATAGGTAACGAGCCTTGAGGATGCCTCTAAGTGCCAATTCGATCTCACACTTTTTCTTGGTTTTTTCAGATTTTGTTCTTCCTCTCACGCCTGTCTCTAGCCTCCTTTTAGTTCTGGCCTCGTTC